TGGAGTCAGTTACCTAACCCTAACCCTGAGAACCCCCCCCCACACACATGGAGTCAGTTACCTAACCCTAACCCTGAGAACCCCCCCCCCACATGGAGTCAGTTACCTAACACTGCTATAAACTACATCCAGAATGTTTTGAGACTGTGTTAGCTTCAGTGTATAGTGTGTGTTAGCTTCAGTGTATAGTGTGCGTTAGCTTCAGTGTATAGTGTGCGTTAGGTTCAGTGTATAGTGTGCGTTAGCTTCAGTGTATAGTGTGCGTTAGCTTCAGTGTATAGTGTGTGCGTTAGCTTCAGTGTATAGTGTGCGTTAGGTTCAGTGTATAGTGTGCGTTAGCTTCAGTGTATAGTGTGCGTTAGCTTCAGTGTATAGTGTGCGTTAGCTTCAGTGTATAGTGTGCGTTAGCTTCAGTGTATAGTGTGCGTTAGCTTCAGTGTATAGTGTGCGTTAGCTTCAGTGTATAGTGTGCGTTAGCTTCAGTGTATAGTGTGCGTTAGCTTCAGTGTATAGTGTGCGTTAGCTTCAGTGTATAGTGTGCGTTAGCTTCAGTGTATAGTGTGTGCGTTAGCTTCAGTGTATAGTGTGCATTAGCTTCAGTGTATAGTGTGCGTTAGCTTCAGTGTATAGTGTGTGTTAGCTTCAGTGTATAGTGTGCATTAGCTTCAGTGTATAGTGTGCGTTAGCTTCAGTGTATAGTGTGTGTTAGCTTCAGTGTATAGTGTGTGTTAGCTTCAGTGTATAGTGTGCATTAGCTTCAGTGTATAGTGTGTGTTAGCTTCAGTGTATAGTGTGCGTTAGCTTCAGTGGGTGTTTCTCAATCGCGAGTACGCTTGCTTGGTAGCACATGTCTGCCGAGCATCTTGCTTCAGAAGCGAGTCAAGAATACTTCCTGGCATTCGGAAAACAAAGAGAGGAACACGCTAGTAAGTGTGCAGGTGTGCGTCATATGAGAGGCCCCGCCTCTTACATCTTCCGCCACAAATTTGGGGAAATTGGTCCGTGCGCAAAGCATTGTGGGGATTTTAAGACCGCGAAGTCTACTCATGTGCACACTCGATATTTCTCCAAACGGAGTACGCCGGGCTCGGTAGATTTCCAAGTATACTGGAGATTGGAACAGTACTTCGGCAGCACTCGATGACGTAGTATGCTTGAAATAGTGGCTCTGAAGCAGCTTTACTCGCGATTGAGAAACACCCAGTGTATAGTGTGCGTTAGCTTCAGTGTATAGTGTGTGCGTTAGCTTCAGTGTATAGTGTGCGTTAGCTTCAGTGTATAGTGTGCGTTAGCTTCAGTGTATAGTGTGCGTTAGCTTCAGTGTATAGTGTGTGCGTTAGCTTCAGTGTATAGTGTGCGTTAGCTTCAGTGTATAGTGTGCGTTAGCTTCAGTGTATAGTGTGCGTTAGCTTCAGTGTATAGTGTGTGTTAGCTTCAGTGTATAGTGTGCGTTAGCTTCAGTGTATAGTGTGCGTTAGCTTCAGTGTATAGTGTGCGTTAGCTTCAGTGTATAGTGTGTGTGTGTTAGCTTCAGTGTATAGTGTGTGTTAGCTTCAATGTATAGTGTGCGTTAGCTTCAGTGTATAGTGTGCGTTAGCTTCAGTGTATAGTGTGCGTTAGCTTCAGTGTATAGTGTGCGTTAGCTTCAGTGTATAGTGTGAGTTAGCTTAAGTGTATAGTGTGCGTTAGCTTCAGTGTATAGTGTGCGTTAGCTTCAGTGTATAGTGTGTGTTAGCTTAAATTACTGTCGTCATAGATAATGGTGATAATACTGAATGATCATGTGATCATGTACAGTTTGCCTCACCTTCTCCACCAGCTGCTGGTTCCTATGATACAACGCCTGCTTCTCCTCCACCCACTGCACATCCTGAGGGACAGAACATTGAATGCACAATATTCACATCTCGAACCTCTCAGATTACTGTCTACGTTCTATGTTCTAAGTTTTTCGTCAGGTCAGTCAGGTAGAGCCAAGAGTCTGCATGTTTTTCTCCAAACTGAAAAAAATTAGCTTTAAGTTTCCCAGTGTGTGTGTGTGTGGTGTGTGTGTGTGTGTTACCAGTCCTTGTTGCTTCAGTGCTGACTCCAGATCGGCGACTCTGGTTTGATATCGACTGATTTCACTCAGCAGCTGTTCTCTGTTCTGAAACACAGAGTAGAACCATTCACCTGTTAGAACCCTGTCTGTTAGAACACTGTCTGTTAGAACCCTGTTTCTTCACAGATGTTAGAACCCTGTCTGGTTGTTCACAGATGTTAGAACCCTGTCTGTGTAAGATCATAGATGTTAGAATCCGGTTTTTTGACCACAGATGTTAGAACCCACCCGGATCTCCTTCTCAGGATCGTAGGTTCCCCCGCTGGTTTCTGCCAGCAGAGCGTAAGCTCTCTGCAGAGCTTGGTACTCCTGAGTCAGCTGACGGAAACGGAACTCTGCCTCCTCGCGCACACACACCTGGAACAGGAACATGGGAGTGAGAAGGCGGGTTCTCTGTGACTAATCCTGTTAACAACAATGTGTGTGTGTGTGTGTGTGTGTGTACCTCCTCTGGCTCTGTATCTGGAGTTCTGTCGGTGTGAAACGACAAAGACGATCCATCAGAGTCCACAGAAGCTTCTTCATCGTAGCCGTAGAACGTCTCTATGACCTGAGAGGGAGACAACGTTACTGGGACTGGAACCTCAAGTCCCTACAGACGCGCCTAGTAACAGCAAAAGTACTAATGTCAGTTTTAATAGTAGTACTATCAGTATTACTGTGAACCCTCACCCTGCAGGCTCTGAAGGTCCGTTTCCTCCTGACTGAATCCTGGCGTCTGTACCTCAGCAACATGTCTCTCTCCTGCAGGAAACACACACACACACACACACACACACACACACACACACACACACACACACACACACACACACACACACACACACACACACACACACACACACACACACACACACACACACACACACACACACACACACACACACACACACACACACACACACACACACACACACACACACACACACTATTTACAATCTCCTTTGTTTGGGTTGATTGAATATATTTTACATAGTAATTAGAGTAATGTTTTTTTTCTGTAGTTTTCTTTGTGAGGTAGTTGAAGTGAAATACTAACGATAACATTCTTCACATAACCCGCTGTCTCCAGAGCCTGGAACGCACACACAGAGGTTAGAGCTGTTGTTAGTATAACAGTATGTAGTAGTCATACTGTGAGTACTGTACCACAGTATATAGCAGTAATGCTGTGAGTACTGTAGAACACAATGTAGAAGTCATACTGTGAGTACTGTACAACAGAATGTATGTAGTATATAGTTATATGTGTGTAACAGTACTTCACCTTTGACAGGTCGTCGATGACGTGTTGTTGCTCCAGAACTTGTAACCGTAGAAACTCCATCTCCCTCTCGTCCTGGCTGTAACCATGGTAACTGGAGCGGCTGCGGTCCAGGTCATTCAAAGAATTCGGTCTCCGCTGAAATATGTAAATAAATCATAAACATGTCGATAAATCACAACAACCTACGACCCTTCAGGTGTGAGGTAAAGGGTGAGGGGTTACCATAGCTACCAGGTGTGAGGTAAAGGGTGAGGGGTTACCATAGCTACCAGGTGTGAGGTAAAGGGTGAGGGGTTACCATAGCTACCATCTCCATGTTTTCCTGCGTGACAAAGCGCAGCTTGTTGTCGAGGCGACGCAGCGATAGTGCCATCTCCTCGTTCTTCCTGCTCAGACGCCGGTTCTTATCCAGCAGAGGCAGGAACTGACTCTCCGTCTCCCGTAGCCGCTTCAGCTGCACACAGTACACACAAAATACTGCAAATACTGCACACAGTACACACAGTGAATACTGCACACAGTACACACAGTGAATACTGCACACAGTACACACAGTAAACACTGCACACAGTACACACAGTGAATACTGCACACAGTACACACAGTAAACACTGCACACAGTACACATAGTGAATACTGCACACAGTACACACAGTAAACACTGCACACAGTACACACAGTGAATACTGCACACAGTACACGTAGTGAATACTGCACACAGTACACGTAGTGAATACTGCACACAGTACACGTAGTGAATACTGCACACAGTACACACAGTGAATACTGCACACAGTACACGTAGTGAATACTGCACACAGTACACACAGTGAATACTGCACACAGTACATACAGTGAATACTGCACACAGTACATACAGTAAACACTGCACACAGTACACATAGTGAATACTGCACACAGTACACACAGTGAATACTGCACACAGTACATACAGTAAACACTGCACACAGTACACATAGTGAATACTGCACACAGTACACACAGTAAACACTGCACACAGTACACACAGTGAATACTGCACACAGTACACACAGTAAACACTGCACACAGTACACACAGTAAACACTGCACACAGTACACATAGTGAATACTGCACACAGTACACGTAGTGAATACTGCACACAGTACACACAGTGAATACTGCACACAGTACACGTAGTGAATACTGCACACAGTACACATAGTGAATACTGCACACAGTACACATAGTGAATACTGCACACAGTACACGTAGTGAATACTGCACACAGTACACGTAGTGAATACTGCACACAGTACACGTAGTGAATACTGCACACAGTACACACAGTGAATACTGCACACAGTACACGTAGTGAATACTGCACACAGTACACACAGTGAATACTGCACACAGTACACGTAGTGAATACTGCACACAGTACACACAGTGAATACTGCACACAGTACACGCAGTGAATACTGCACACAGTACACACAGTAAATACTGCACACAGTACACGTAGTGAATACTGCACACAGTGAATACTGCACACAGTACACACAGTGAATACTGCACACAGTACACGTAGTGAATACTGCACACAGTGAATACTGCACACAGTACACGTAGTGAATACTGCACACAGTACACACAACATACTGCAAATACTGCACACAGTACACATAGTGAATACTGCACACAGTACACATAGTGAATACTGCACACAGTACACACAGTGAACACTGCACACAGTACACACAGTAAACACTGCACACAGTACACATAGTGAATACTGCACACAGTACACATAGTGAATACTGCACACAGTACACATAGTGAATACTGCACACAGTACACGTAGTGAATACTGCACACAGTGAATACTGCACACAGTAAACGTAGTGAATACTGCACACAGTACACACAACATACTGCAAATACTGCACACAGTACACATAGTGAATACTGCACACAGTACACACAGTAAATACTGCACACAGTACACATAGTGAATACTGCACACAGTACACATAGTGAATACTGCACACAGTACACACAGTGAACACTGCACACAGTACACACAGTAAACACTGCACACAGTACACATAGTGAATACTGCACACAGTACACATAGTAAACACTGCACACAGTACACATAGTGAATACTGCACACAGTACACATAGTGAATACTGCACACAGTACACACAGTGAATACTGCACACAGTACACATAGTAAACACTGCACACAGTACACACAGTGAATACTGCACACAGTACACACAGTAAACACTGCACACAGTGAATACTGCACACAGTACACACAGTGAATACTGCACACAGTACACGTAGTGAATACTGCACACAGTGAATACTGCACACAGTACACACAGTAAACACTGCACACAGTACACATAGTGAATACTGCACACAGTACACATAGTAAACACTGCACACAGTACACATAGTGAATACTGCACACAGTACACACAGTGAATACTGCACACAGTACACATAGTGAATACTGCACACAGTACACATAGTGAATACTGCACACAGTACACACAGTGAATACTGCACACAGTACACATAGTAAACACTGCACACAGTACACACAGTGAATACTGCACACAGTACACACAGTAAACACTGCACACAGTGAATACTGCACACAGTACACACAGTGAATACTGCACACAGTACACGTAGTGAATACTGCACACAGTGAATACTGCACACAGTACACACAGTAAACACTGCACACAGTACACATAGTGAATACTGCACACAGTACACATAGTAAACACTGCACACAGTACACATAGTGAATACTGCACACAGTACACACAGTGAATACTGCACACAGTACACATAGTAAACACTGCACACAGTACACATAGTGAATACTGCACACAGTACACACAGTGAATACTGCACACAGTACACATAGTAAACACTGCACACAGTACACATAGTGAATACTGCACACAGTACACATAGTGAATACTGCACACAGTACACATAGTGAATACTGCACACAGTACACATAGTAAACACTGCACACAGTACACATAGTGAATACTGCACACAGTACACACAGTGAATACTGCACACAGTACACATAGTAAACACTGCACACAGTACACATAGTGAATACTGCACACAGTACACACAGTGAATACTGCACACAGTACACATAGTAAACACTGCACACAGTACACACAGTGAATACTGCACACAGTACACATAGTGAATACTGCACACAGTACACATAGTGAATACTGCACACAGTAAACACTGCACACAGTACACATAGTGAATACTGCACACAGTAAACACTGCACACAGTACACATAGTGAATACTGCACACAGTACCAGTTCGTTGCGTTCCTCCGACAGCAGAGCGTTCCGATCCTCCAGCTTCCTCACCACGGCGCTGAGCTCAGCGATTTTTAACTGAAACCTTCTAGTGTCCCGTTCCTCCTGAGACTACAAACACACACACACACACACACACACACACACACACACACACACACACACACACACACACACACACACACACACACACACACACACACACACACACACACACACACACACACACACACACACACACACACAGTTACAAGAGTAGGAGATTCAACTCCTCCTCCCATGTTGGGCAGTAACACAGCCAGAGCTTTAGGGAGTGCAGGTGATGTCGTCGTAAACTTTGACTGCAGACAAATACTTCAGTACTAACTAACACCTGGGTAATTCAAATGAGCCCAGGCCGTAAACTGGTTTCATCACCTGGGCTGCGTTTCACTTCGGTTAAATGGATTCCTTGCGTCCCTCTCTTGCGTCCCTCCCACCAGGACGCATGGAGAGACGCAAGGAAGCCACGAGAAGCAGGGAAATTAGTTTTCAGAGCAATGGGACGTCCTTTCCTCCGGAGCGTCACGTGAAGCCACGTCCTTTCCTCCGGAGCGTCACGTGAAGCCACGTCCGTTTGTGATGACGCTGCACAGCTGATCGTCTGACAGCAGCTCTGTCCCCGTTGTTTTCACAAACACCCCCGCCTCTGTTAGTACACATTTACTGACACAAACATGTGTATCATCTGTTGTAGACCCAAATACATTAAATAAGAACTCATTCTCAAAAAAGATAAACGCCATTCTTAAAATGTATAAACGAACATGAGTTAGATTAATATTGATTAGAGTGCACAATAGGAATAAATTAACTCAGAGAAGAAAAAGAGAGATATGTTATCTATCAAAACCCAGTTAGATGAACATTCATTGGATTGCACACTTTGTCTGTTTGTGTGGATATGTAGCACATTAACATGTTAAATAGCACTTCATGACTGACTGAATGGAAATGACAATAAATGAAAATGTAAAACGAAAAAAGCGATCATGAAAATGTTTCCAATAAATGAATAAAATGATCTTTGTCCACTTAGTTGTTCAGATATATCACATATTTGTAACTGAATGATGCATTCATTGAAACAGAACACAGTATAAACTGAGGAGTGAGTCCCGTGAGTTTCATGTGTTTTCTTCACTCCGCTGGGAAACTGCTCTCATGTCAAGAAGCATCAGATCAGTGCATGCGCTGCATCGTCCAATCAGTGAGCGATACACAGTAAGGGGGCGGGGCGAGTCTCTGAGGATTTCACCGAAGGATGGTCTGGTGGTTCCTCGGTTATCGCTCCTCCATTATCGCTCCTCGCTCCTCCGGCAAAAATAAGGCCATGGGACGCTACTCAAGATGGCGCAGACAAATCAACTTCCGGTGAGACCGAGGAGCGAGGAAATGAAAAATAAGAGAAGTGAAACGCAGCCCTGGTGATCCAGTGAGTAGGAAGGTTAAACAGGAAGTAGAGTTAGGATGCTGTGGTTAAACAGGAATTGGGTGGGGTTAATGCAGTAGGAGGCGGGGCTTACAAGGTGAGGACAGGTGTTAAGGTCGGGGTTAGTGTTGGGGCTGGCCCCCCCCCTCTGAGCGTCTCTCAGTGCTGCGATCTGCTGCTCAGCTGCCTGCGTCTGCAGCTGCAGGCGGTGGGCGTGACCCGCCTGCAGACCCAGAGCTTTGTCCAGAACACTGACCGCTCGGTCCTTCAGCTTTATCTCATCCATCTGCACACAGACAGGCACACAGACAGGCACACAGACTTTCTTTTATTTTTTTATTTAACCTTAATTCAACCAGATAAAAGCATTGAGATAAAATCTCATTTACAATGCTGACCTGGCCAAGAAGGCAGCAACGTTACACATTATTATACATAACACAGACACTAAGTAAACAAAAAGAGGAAAAGCAGTCACTACATTGTGCACATTTGGGACAGAAAGAAAGACACTACTTACAGCTGGTGGTAAGGACCTCAGACAACTTCCATTTAAAACAGTACCGTACAGGCAGGCAGGTTAGAGACAAACGAGTTGGACAAAGATAGGTAGACAAGCAGATAGAGAGATGAACAGGTAGACAGACAGGTGAGTGTTTTATTTGACGCATGATGACCGGCCTCTCTGATTGGGCGAGGAGCAAGTGACTGTTTTTTTAAAGTAAATGCTGTTGGGGTTTCTATTGGCTGAACAGGCGTTACACCACGCAATAAACAGTATAAACAGGAAGTCTGGGACGGCGGTGCAGCAGGAGAGACGAACGGTGGACTCAAATGCCCGACACAGCGCCAACCACACGTTAATTTAAACAAAGAGTGGTGGGAACCATAACCTCATCGTGGTGGAGAGGTTCCTCTAGGAACCATAACCTCATCGTGGTGGAGAGGTTCCTCTAGGAACCATAACCTCATCTTGGTGGAGAGGTTCCTCTACGCAGTGGTCGCCAACCAGTCGATCGCGAGTGTGGTGCGGGTAGATCGCGGACCGTTAAAAAAAAAAAGTAACAAAAGAAATAAAAATAAAATAAAAATAATAATGTTTGAAAAATAAGTTTTTAGATGTAAACCTATCATCCACCACCCCGTTTGCAGGTGCCACTTGATTGACGTATATTTTAGACACCTCAATAATATAATACATTAACCGTGCTTTATGTGAACCTCATCATGACACAAGAGAGGACGGCAGGACTGCAATTTCCCGTGTTCAGTGAATGCAACAGAGGCAAGACACCAGACCAATCAGAGAGTTGCATGGAAATACACGTGTGCTTGTGTCATTCAAGCTCGGCTCTGTGTGTGTGTGTGGCAATAGCGCATTTAGTGTGATAGAGGGAGAGAGGGAGAGAGGGGGAGAGAGGGAGAGAGGGAGAGAGAGGGACCGGTGCCAGCGGGGACCGTGATGTTAGCATCTGGTTAGCTAGCTGCACTAACGGACACAAGGAGCTGTTTCCACAACAAGCTGGAGGAGAGTCCTCTCCTCTCAGACTGAGGGGCTCAGGTGAGCTAAAGGACTCTCTGAGTGTTTAGATATAGTTCACTTTAGTCTAAGTTATCTCAGTGGGTCTCAAAAGGTTTTGTCACAAATTATTCAAAAGATTATTTCCGCGGCACACCTTCATATGATCATTATAGTTATCAGAGTTGGGTGTAACGCGTTACTGTAATAATATTACTTTTGTCGGTAACGGAGTAGTGTAACGCGTTACTTTTATAATTCAGTAATCACACTACAGTTACTAACATTGCCCCGACACGCGTTACTTCGTTACTTTTATAAAATCAGTCATAATCACACTGACAGACAAGAGGGGTTTCCGCCGCAGGTTCATATGTACGTAATCTTGCGCGTCGACATCTCCACGTGCAGTGCTGCATAAACATGGCTGAGTCAGCGATAACTTTCGAGGGGTGGAGGTATGCCCATTATTTTGAGTTCGTCCGAAGAATAGACAGGAATGTGACGGTGAGGTGCAAACTGTGTCCAGGCCAGAAGCTGTTATCCACTGCTGCAAACACCACGTCAAACCTCAACAAACACCTGCAAAGAACACATGCTAAGGTGAAGCTAATAGCTAAGGACCCCCGAACCCAGAGTGAGGATGTTGTGAGTGCGCCGCCGCCGACTCCGAAGCAGCACAAATTAGAATTTGGAGGGCCGGTAACCAAAGCAGAGATGGACAGGCTTGTAGCATCCTTCATAGTAGAGGTAATGTTGCCCATTTGCACAGTGGAATCACCATCGCATCGTTCAGAGATATACTGCGCTAAATACAGATAGCAGGAGACAGAGGACAGCCATAGTCAGAGCTATCTGGATCAGTCTTATGCGACAATGGAAACTGAACTAAAGAGAACATTTGAAACTTTAGCAGTCTGCGTGATCTGCCTGTAGGGAGGGGCGGGCCGGCCCTGAGAGTAAAGTAACGAGTAAAGTAACGAGTAAAGTAACGAGTTAAGTAACGAGTAAAGTAACGAGTAAAGTAACGAGTTAAGTAACGAGTTAAGTAACGAGTTAAGTAACGAGTAAAGGTAAAGTAACGAGTTAAGTAACGAGTTAAGTAACGAGTAAAGTAACGAGTAAAGTAACGAGTAAAGTAACGAGTAAAGTAACGAGTAAAGTAACGAGTTACTTTATGTAGAGAGTAACGAAGTAGTGTAATATATTACTTTTTTTTAAAGTAATATGTAATATGTAATATATTACTTTTTTTTAGTAACGACCCCATCTCTGATAGTTATACAAACAATAAGAGAAAAAATGAAAAACAGACCTATGAAATACTATATGGCAGTAAAACAAGAATACAGTTTAAAAGGGGAGTGATTTGTAAAATATCCATAAAGAAAAAGAACATCTGTTTCCAGTTCTGTTTCATATGGGTGCTGAGAGAGGTATCCATAGATCTCTAATGTTGCTCTCAAAGTGCACCAGATTGATGCTTTTAACTTCAATATTTAAAAATATATATTCCCGGGGGACCCCCAAGAGGAGGTGAGGTCCGCCCCCCACTCATAAAAAAGAGCACTTTACCCCTGCCTATATGCCGTGAGCTGATTATCGAGCCTTCATTGTAACAGTAATTCAGATGCAGCCTATATAAAAGGCCTCAAATTGGAAGCACTGTCTGGGCCGTCTTTTTCACTCAATTCTGCAATAGGTAGATCTCGCCTTTCACCTAGGCCGAGGTCGGTGATCTTGGGCTTAAAAAGGTTGGTGACCACTGCTCTACAGGAACCATAACCTCATCGTGGTGGAGAGTTTCCTCTACAGCATGGGTCGGCAACAGGCGGCCCACGGGCCATTGGTGGCCCGCCAGCAATAATATTTGGCCAGGAAAATTATTTTGAGAATAAAAATAAAATATAATTTTTAGTAAATTTGTGTTTACCATATTGGACCGACAGTCGCACGTATAGGCTATAATGTCCGAATAGAGAATCTACCTACACCTGACTAATGCTTATTGTACTTTTATCCATGTTGAGAGTGACACACAGCACAGGCACAATCTGGCAGCGGGGTGCACTGACGCTGATAGTGGATCAGTAATCAATAAGTAGGTGGACAGCGCGTGGTGCTGAAATAGCCAACATGCGGTGTGTGGTTTGAAAAAAATAACACCAGCTCACTAAATCATTCAAACGTAATGTTTACTTAGGATATCAAAACATTGACAACAAAATAGGAGAAGCCGCTTGATCATGGAGGGCGAGGGGTGGCGGTGCATATGCTGCCACCCCAGCTGCCACCCCAGTTGGCAGCTTTGTTTTGAAAGAAAAGTTTTGGCTCATCGGACATTTATGAGAGAAAATCCCTAATGTCCGAGTGCAAGGGAATGCAGCACAAGATGCAAGCCTTGTAACACCTCCCCCGGCCCTGGCGCGAGCATGGAAAAGTGATTGACGGCGATTTCATTTGAACGGGACGGTGCAAAACGAGAAGCAATTTAAAATATAAGTCTGTTAAAATACAGATAATAGCCCTGGCTTTTAACATGGCACTGAAATGGGGCTAAAGAGGACGATCCTCCCTTTGGGTAGGTCTAGCCAGAGGCTCTGGCCTTTGATTATGTTCTAGCCTGCCATCTAGTGGCTCAGAAAAAAATTGTCCCAAGGCCAAACTTACTTGCTGACCCCTGCTCTACAGGAACCATCACCTCATCGTGGTGGAGAGGTTCCTCTACAGCAGTGTTTCTCAAACTTTTTCATACCAAGGACCACTTAACTAATAAAAAAACACTCGCGGACCACCCAACTCCACAAATATCCAAAATCACATCGTTTTTCTAGAACAGATTACAAATCGCCTGAAAATGGTACAAACAAGTGGCAACATGTGTGATGATGGTGTGAAACTTAAGCTCGCTCCATTGCGGAGATATTCACGCGAGAGTGCAAAAAACTTAAATGTATGTTTTTATTTCAAATGTGAAATTGTACCAATATACTCACGGACCACTAGGGGGCGCTCACGGACCACCAGTGGACCACACTTTGAGAAGCACTGCTCTACAGCAGCGGTTCCCAACCTTTTTCAACTCAGGGCCCACTTAAAAATGTGCGGCCCACATTCAACCATAATAATACGGAGGCTAAATAAAGTTCTGATTGGTTGATTCAGAACATGTGACACGTTGTAAATCCAGTAGAACAAACTGCTGTCAAGGACTGTAATGACCGTTGCTAAGGAGGATCAAGAAAGAGAAAGGAAAAGAGGTTAAAAAATAAAAAATCTTAATAATGAAATGTTTCCACACAAATCATAATGTTTTGCAAATTATTTGGCGGCAAATATTGAATTTACATTTACACCCTTTAATATTTTATTTGGGCTTCTTGATGAAGACCGCACACAGTTAATAAATACAACTATTCTTCTGGCTAAAATACATATTTTTAAAGTAATTTTTTAATTTTAATTTTAATTTAAGGTGTTTGAAGAGTAGATTAAAAATTCAATTTATTTAGAAAAAAACTTATTGCCACAAGAAATCAAAGGCTCAACACGCCATGGTGTGGGAAATAATGAGCTCTAACGAAGAGTGGGATTAAAGGAACAATACATATGCCATGTTGTGTTTTTGGTTGTCAATCTTTTTGTTTGTGAAACATTGAAGTGATCCTGCTGACTGCATCTTTATTTCTTCTGTTTTTGTTTTCTTTTTGTCTGAGATTGGAATGTCATCTCCTATATGTTATTGCTATGTCCATGTTTGTGTCTTTAGCCTGTACAACATTTTTTTTTAAAGTAAATGTAATAAAAAAATAATAATTTGGCGGCCCTCTTGCAATGCCTCCACGGACCACTAGGGGCCCACAGGTTAGGAACCGCTGCTCTACAGCAGGGGTGGGGAACCTCCGGCCCCCCATTTGGTACGGCCCTCGAGGTAATTTATAAACACACGCAAAAAAGAAGAAAATTAAAGAAATCTAGACCGCAAAAAAATTAAACAAGCGAGTGCCTGTTTTTCCTGGCCACGGTCAGGGTCCTTGAACACAACACGAGCCTAACGTGTCATCACGTGGTATATGTCTTGTCTGACAGGGGTGCAGTTCTGACGGAGAGCACCAGAACGCGGGTCCGGCACTTCACAAATTGCAGTACCCATAAGGAGCCGTACACATGCCGCAGTTTTTGCGTGGCTGTGTCTTATGGCGCGTTTCCACTGCAGCGCGGAGCCCCGTTTAAGAGCTGTGACGTGAAAATAAGAGAATAAAGTAAACAGGTATAAAATACTATATGACAGTAAAAAAAAGTTGTTATTAATAAACAAGAATACAGTTTGAGAGGAGAGTGATTTGTAAAATATCTATAAAGAAAAATAAATCTGTTTCCAGTTCTGTTTCATATGTTGAGAGATGTTTCCATAGATCTCTCATGTTGCTCTCAAAGTGCACCAGATTGATGCTTTCAACTTCAACAGTTAAAAAAAACTCTTCCCGGGGGAGCATGTCCCCGGACCCCCCTAGAGGAGGTTAGGTCCCCCCCCCCACTTAAATCATGTTCACATGGATAGGAAAGTCATGGTTAGATATCTGGATTAAGAGGTTGCTTTTTCTTTGCACAGCATGAAAGAAAGGCAAAATGGATGGGCTGTGATTTTAGTGTTTTTAAGCAGAGGTCAATAATTTGTACGGCCCTCGGAGGATGTTGAAAAAATTGAAATGGCCCTTGAGAGGAAAAAAGTTTCCCAACCCTGCTCTACAGGAACCACCACCCCATCGTGGTGGAGAGGTTATGAACCTGGGTTCTGTGTTTGTCACTGACGAGGGGCCAGGATAAGTGCCGGTTCGATCCCAGCCCGTCAACATGTGGAAGTACAGTCCATTTAACATGTTTACTGTTGTGGTCGGTTCATCCTCTATAGAAAAAACATGTATTATTGTTATCGTTGTTATCTTTGTTATTGTTGTTGTTGAATGTCCTCATAAAGAAGAACAGCAGCTTCCTGTTTCCTGTCCAGCTGTGAGAGTCATCACAGTCTGTACCAGTCTGTGACTCTGTTCATTGTGCTTTACCAGTGTGTGTGTGTGTGTGTGTGTGTGTGTGTGTGTGTGTGTGTGTGTGTGTGTGTGTGTGTGTGTGTGTGTGTGTGTGTGTCTCACCAGTCTCCTGATCTCTCTCTCACACTCCCTCTTGGTTCGGTTCAGCTCCTCCTGGTGTTGGTGATGAGCTGATCTGAGCTCTGCTGCTCTGGTCTGTCCCGCCTGTTGAGCCGAGCTCAGAGCTTCCTCTGC